AGTTCAAAACTACCAGTGGTTCCGCGGGAGAAAGATGAGGCATTCTGCTCATGTAAAGATTTTCAGCCTCCGAAATCCTGTGCAGGGTTGCTATGAGTCGGAACCGACTCCATGGCACTTAACAACAACAACAATCATTACAATGAAACAGATCTGATTGGTTGAGTGCAAACCTGCCATGTAGACTATCACTCAATTCACAATAAAAGCTTAAAAAAAAACCTAAAAAACCCTTGTATAAATTATACATAAATTTTACATAAAAATATGTAAGTAGTTCTTGACCTTTAGTAATAAACATGCTGAAGGATTTCCAGTAAAATGTATAGATCTTTGCGATTTACTTAGAAATGCATTAAAAATAAGATGGACTAATCAATGGATGGAGTTCTGGTGTGGCACTGTGGGTAAGTACTTGACCAACTGAGAAGTTGTGATTCAAAACCACCAACTGCTCCTTGGAAACCTGTGTAGCATTGCTATGAGTCAGAACTGACTCAATGGCACTTAACAACAATCAATGGATAAATGGATGCTGAACACATAGGTATGTGATTAAGCAAATACAGTGAGTACTCAAATCCAGGTAGTTGTTGTTAAGTGCTGTTGAGTCAGTTCTGATTCATAATGAACCTGCACAGGGTTTCCGAGGAGCAGCTGGTGAGACTGAATCACTGACCTTGTGGTTCAAACTGACCTTGCAGTCCTGTACATTATCCTGCAGCCCCACACCAGGACTTCAGAATGTAGTAGTTAGTGAGTACATAGGTGTTTACTGTAAAATTCTCTCAACACTGCTGTGTATTTGGAACACTTCTTAATAAAATGTGGAAACAGACTCCAAAAAAGAAAAGAAAGCGGAAATGTCTTAACAAAGACAGGAAGAGCTGACTTTTTGGAAAACAACCAAAACAATGCAGCTCCTGAAGGTTTTAATCCTTCAAGGTCACGTAGTTAAGGGCACCTAGATTAAAGGAGCTCTGGTAGCATAGTGGTTACGAATCGGGCTGCGAACCGCAAGGTCAGCAGTTCGAAACTACCAGCTGTTCCGCGGGAGAAA